ATATAAAAATATATATTTAAAAAATATTTTATTTCAAGTTTTAATTACTAACAGCAAAAGAATTTTTATAATTAATTGTGTTCATTTGTGACCACTGCTGCAGTTAAGCGGTTAACCCGCTGAGCTTACATAAATAGTTCATATCGTCCCCCGCATTGGGAATGTTATTAAGATTATTATTTGTGGCAAAATTTCTCTATTAATTAAATTCAAAAAATAAATAAAAAAAAGCGTATCTCGATGTAAAATAGAATTGAAACTAAGTTGATCAAAATTAACAGATAATTGTAGCAAACACTGAACTCTCCCACACACACACACACACAACAAAACATTTTTGAGGAAGGAAACTATTAGTAATATAATTTATTTTACAAATGTTTGCTTTATCACTCTTTTCATCAAACATAATGAAAAAAAAAAATTATTTACTAATCGAAAAATTATCTGTTGACATAATAATAATAAATTTTTTTATATAATCTTAACTTTAAACATAAATGTTGATTATAACTAATGTAGATCCAAAATGTATATGGGTCATTCTTTTACAACACGGACACCTTTTTGACCTCATGATCTCCGATTTGGCTGAAATTTTTTTATGAGTTCCTTTTATAAAATAAGAAGACCCGTAAAAATTTTATGTTTTTTTTCCTAGGAGATATGGACTCATGGGGTTTTGAGAATTGGCATAGTAGACACATTTTTAAATGGCTATATCTCAAGTTCTATAAAAGGTAGAAACTTGTACAGCGTTTCAAAGATAATTGATTGAACTTTTATGAAATTGTTTAAACAATTAAAATTGTTAATATTTAAGTACTAATATTAACCGTTAAATTTCAAAAAATTATATATAATTTCTTATATATAAGAAAAAAATAAGATTTAAGAAATGCTTTAAGATTGGTTTCATCGACAAAAATGGTATAAAGACGAGACCCAAAGTTTTAAAAGTAAGTCCATTTCGTTAACACTATTAGGAAAAAAGAGTAAATTATTATCCCTTTTCTAGTAGGAAGGTAGTTCGCAGAATACGAATTTGAGGAAAGCCATTGACTAGATGTTGTTCACACCGTACATCTCTGACCTACTATTACGACAATATTCACTACAAGTAAAACCTATTAAAGCCTATTAGACCTATTAGATATTGTACTGTCAAAAGAGCAATTATTTTAAACAACTAAGAACAATTAGTTTATTGGTTTTGTTCCGATTGTCAGCAAACGATGTCAAACATACACTCTGATAGATGGATTGACCACTTTTTACAACTATTTTGTACGTATCGTAAAGCACAAGAGCTATTAGTGGGTGTGAATATAAAAAGAATTGAAAAATTTGTTTTGCTAAAATGCAAACTCAATGAACAATGAAATACGTGGTGTTCGAATTAAGAAATCAAAATTGACATATATAAAGATGAAAAACTGTTATATATCCGGGAGCCCTTGGTATTATTTAGTATAAGGATTTCAAAAGGACAAGTTTTTTCTACATTAGATTACAATGCAGATTCATTGACATAGCCTATTGCATCAATTAAAAGACTTGAATCCTGTAAACTGTGACCAAAATCAATTGGACAGAACACATCTCGGATTTTATGCATAACTGAAGACAAAGATTTACTGCAGACAGTGAAACGACAAAATTGGAGTAAAATGATAGTTTGCTTGAATTATATTTGAAAGGCAAAGTTGAAGCAAGGCGTAGTACGGGTAGACAAAACTGTGGATAAATCAAATATAACAAACATATTAGGTAACCATCGAGTTGGAAAAAGCACTTACAAGAAGAAGTGAATATCTATTTCTGAAATTTCTAAAACTAAGGAGATATTAACAAAAATAGACTTAAAATAAAGACTTAGCATCTAATAAACTTCAGCACTTTGAATGGTTTAGTCATTATGTTATGTTATGTGGGACAATGAGTTTGTTCTCAAAATAGATAAATCTATTGCTGCTCAGTTTTGACTATTCACAGAAATATATTCAAAATCCATTTTACAGAAACAACAGATATTAGTCTCTAAGAACCGAAAAGGTGGTATCTGGAATCACAGTGCCGTATTAATAATATATACGAGAAGGAATGAAGGAGAAGTAAATATTTCCATATAACTTGAAAAGTAATGTCTGTAAACTAAAATGAATGGTGTGAAAATAGTGTAGCACATTTATATATATTTAATATAAATATAAAAATTAAACGTACTTATAATATTATTAAAGACGTTACTGAGAAAAAGATTTCCATGCAACTTCAATAACCAAGTCACCCAAATACAAGTTAACTACACATATACATGCACATAGGAGCTTCAATATTATATATATCACATTGTAATTTAATTTTGATTGATAAACTTATAAAAGACCCACAGGTAAACTGAGTCATAAGATATCTATCTATAAAAACAAACAAAAACAAAAAAATACAGCTGCCGCTTATCTATCGTAATATATTAATCGATTAATATGTTAAGTGTTGTTGTAATCTAAAAATAAATTAATAATATAAAAGAAAAAGCTTAAACATATTTGTGAAGAATACAATTTTTAATTTCTCAAAGTGATACATTTTCCCTGATTTTCTTCCGTATTTTTTAATTTCTCTAATGACACGCGCTCATCTTATTTCCATAGAAATCTATTCCCCGACACTTTTGTTGAACGGAGCGTAAAGTTTTTAATTGTTACTATTACTAAGAATTTCTTTTTAGTTACACTTTCAGGAAAAAAAACTAAATAAACTTAAAAAAATGTACTAAATTCAATGACAAAACGTTTACAATATCAAAATAATGCTTTGTTCACACTTTCAGCTTTAATGTATATGATTAAAACACTTTTTTTGTTTATAACAAAGTTTTTTTTTGTTCTCCATTTAAATGAAATCTCAACTCAATGAATAAGATTGATGGTTAGGACATGATTTACGTATGGATGATGACGAACCAGCGAGACAAACTCCAAGAAAATAAAGGAAAATAATATCGAAAACCAAAAAAAGGATAGATTGATATTGTTGAAGAATACTTAGAAAGATAAACTAACCTTAAAGACTTCTTCTTTTATTATAAACGATTTCACATAAAAGTGTGGACATAGGTCAAGAATTACTATTTTTCCTATAATTAAAACTTCAGTCACTCTCAATTGTTTTCTCAACAGTATGTTAGAATCCAGCTGTCCGCGTCATAACATTATAAAATGCGATATATTTAAAATGAAATGCAGTCCAGTCTATGACAGAGCCATTATTCTTAATATATGAATATTAATAAATAATAATAATTATATTCATATATAAAAAAAATAATATTAATATATAATATATAATCTATAATAATAATAATATTAATATTGATATATAATAATAATATTGATATAATAATAATATAATATATTAATATATAATAATATAAAATTAATAATAATGTTAATACATAATAATAATAAAATAATAATAATGTTATACATAATAATAATAAAATTAGTAATTAATAAAAAATAATAATATTATAATAAATAAAAATAATATTAATATAATAATAATAATATAATAATAATAATAATATTAATAATATATTAATAACATTAATAATTAATAATATATAAATAAATAATATTAATAATAATATTAAAATAAATTAATATAATAATAATATTAAATAATTAATATTAATAATAATATTAAATAAATTAATATTAATAATAAATTAAAATAAATTAATATAATAATAATATTAAAATAAATAATATAATAATAATATTAAAATAAATTAATATTAATAATAATATTTAAATAAATTAATATTAATAATAATATTGAAATAAATTAAGATTAATAATAATAATGCTAATAATAATATTAATAATATTAAAATAAATTAATATCAATATATTTTAGTATTTTATATAATTTTTAATAGTCAAACATATTTTCCAAACTAAATAATTAATTTATAAGTTCTTTTTCATATTTAAATTAAGCAAATATTATTAATAAAACATATACTCCATAAAATATAGATGATAAAATATAAACATATATAAATTAAAATCGAAACCCGATTTTTCAAGATATCTTTATCTGCTCCAGCGCATGTTTTTTTTAATTAATAATAGAACAAGTTTTAAAAAAATCAATTAATATAGAGCAAAAACTAAACTAACGAAAACTTTTGTTAAACTGACACCCATTCATCCTCTTGGGTCTAAAATTTTTCTAAAATCATAAATTTATTCTTTTAACATTATTTGGACTAACTTTTTTTAACCGAATACTTCCTTTAATTATGGGTAAAAAATAAGTTTTTACTATATTTATATATTTTGATTATATATGTTCATTTAATTTTTTTTTAATTATTATAAGTTTTTGTTTTAATGACCAAAACTTTTTTATTAATAATTTTATATTTATTTAATATTTCGAAAATATTCTATAGTCATGTTCAAAGTACTTCAGGGTACTACTACAGTTTTTAAAAAATTGTTTAAAAACTAATTTCGTGTTATTTAATTATTATATAAAACCAGCAGAAAGAAACAATTCCTACGAAATATCTTAAAGTCAAGTTTCAGTTCTACACAACCACAAATAGATTGTACACTAAAAACAATCGACAATGTTTTGCTTAAAACCCACTGACTCACCCTCAAGACTGACAATATAAGAGCAAGAGAAGAAAAAAAATAATTTAATAAAAATTTGAGTGGCAACACCAGAATTGTGCATACAAAAAGAACACTCCAAAGAGCACGGATAGATACTCGCATTCGCATGTAGATGTGCATGTCCTACCTAACACACCCCAAAATCGAGTGGCAAATCGACGACTGCATGAACTCAACCTTACAAGTATACCAACAAATTTAATGATTTCTCAGGTGAAGAAAACAAGGCAAAATAAACAAAAAAAAAAAAAAAAATAACACCAGAAAATATGAGCAATAAAATTAAGATTATGGTAAAAGTCATACCTGTGGTAGATCTCCATCATTGACAAATTGCATATTGTCCATCTTCTGTTCAAGTTCATCCAAATCATCGACAACATTATCCGTTAGTGCATTGTATTGTTCCTTGGTATCTTCAAGCAAATGTTTCTCTTCAGTTGATATGGGAGATGGTGTTGCATCATCCATATTCATGTGTGCTTCCAACGGTTCTGCTGAGATTTGTAAGTCTTGTAGTGGTGCGACAACAGCAGTATCTATGGGAACAATATTCTCTGGTTCATCAGCAACAGAATTTTCAAACATATTATTTATTTGTTTATCATCAGACACTTGATTTGCAGTCTCATAATTCATTGAATCTTCGGCAAATAAATCAGCGTTTTCACGTTCTTGCTCGAATTGGTTATTATCAGTGGAAGTGTGTTCTAGGTAGACGGACTCTTGCATTAGTGCCGCATTGTCCATATCAATTAACTGTTGTGGTACTTCATTATTCAGTGAATTGTGTTCATTGCGTAGATTCATTTCCATCTCATCGATTTCGTGTGGGGTTTGTGAAGCATTAAGTAATTCTATTTCTGCGGTAATATCTTGATTTATATTATTGGCGAAGGATGTGTTGAGACTTTCGAATTCGTTTGGTAGAGGTTGTACGGTGTTTAAAATATTTTCAATTGTTTCATTTTCATATTGTTTAAATACTTGTTCCTTCATTGCATCTACATCGTTATCTAAGTCAACACATGTTTCTGGTCCATGATCTATGAAAGTGTCAGGAGAGCGTTGTTGATAATCCAAGCAGTCATTTGTAGGCGGCTCATCCTCAACAAACAAATTTTTGCCAGCATTTTTTAAGTTTTCCAATGGCATTATTTCTTGTAATGAACCATCGCCTATTAAATCGTCTGCTTGTTCCAATTCATGCGGGCGTTGTGCAGCTTCGTGTTCGAATTCATTCTCACCAGGCAACGTTACGTAATCCATATTCGAACAATCCCCCTTGATTGGGCTCGCTGCAACAAAGTCATCTGCCATTAAATGTCGTGGTATAGCAACTGGGTGCGGTGAACATAATGCGTCAGCTACTTCATCAACAATATCATCTTTATCACCTTCAACGCTAGCATCATCGTCATTAATAACGCCACCAGCACTGTATGTTTCGTCAACAGGTGTGGGCGAACCTGGATTTGAACCGAATCTTGGCACAAACTCCTTCGCATCTGGATTCAATGGCGAATGCATTGACGGTACGTTAAAATCAGTTGGTGTCGATGCGAAAGTATCGAGTTTTAGTGAATCTGGATTTGGTTTATGTTCAAATGTACCATCGTCATACGCAATGCCAAAATCAACATCCTGCTCCTGCTGCTGCTGTTGTTGCTGCAGTTGCATTTCATCTTTTAATAAATCTTGTTGTGCCAATTGTTGTGGTGAATTTTCGCTAAGACTGCTTGTACCGTTAGTGGTATTAGTGGCCAATGAACTTGGTTCCTCTTCTTCCGTTTCTTCGCCACGTCCAGACATTTGAGCACCAAATTGTGTTGCAATATTTTCTAGAAAATCGTTTTGCTGTTGCACGATATGTTGTGTTTCATCAATTTTTATATCTACATGCAACAAATCTGAGGCATCTACGTCTTCGCCTGCTGTTGATGTGGTATTTGATGTAGTCGAAAAATCGCCATCATTTTTAATTATTTCTACTTCTTCTTCTTCTTCATCCAAAAGTGCTGCTGCTTTATTCAAAACACCAGCATCGCTTAGATTAACGTTAACGTCAATGTTGCCGTGCACGTTCACGTCGATGTCAGCGTCGACGTCAATGTCTGCGTCAATATCTGCATGCATGTTTCCATTGCCGTTGCCGTTGCCATTGCTATTGCTAACTTCATATTCGTGTTGGCCCAACAATATGCCGTCTCCAACGCCGTTACCAATTCCTTCTTTACCATCGACTTTTATTGTTTGCTGCTTTTCGCTCTGCTGCACTTCTTGCACGTATTTCCATTCTCCTTCACTGTGTTCATTTTCCTCAAACTTTCCCCCAATATTAGCACCAATACCACTTATTTCATCACTTGCAACTATATTACCATCAACACAGCCAATTCCACTGGGAATTTGCAAATTTTCCATTAAATTTTGTGAATTTTGCAAAAAATTTTCCATATATGTATTGTCCTGCTGCTCCATTATGATTACTTTTTTTTTTTTCGTGCAATGTAGCTTTTGAAGTTATCTATTCTTTATTTTTTGTTTGTATTCGTTTTCAGTCTCACTCTTTTTTAACTGTTCCTTTTGTTCCCTTTTTACTGTTTAATCCTTTTATCCTTTGTGAAATTTAACATGAAATTTTGCAACTTTGCAATTTTGTAATCGTATCTAATAATTTTAAATTCAAACGAATTTTATTAATTTTATTATTTTGTAACAAAAAAATATATATTCAATAAACTACGCAAAATTTCGAATTAGAAAAAATTTAAACTGTCAAAATTGGTTTTGTTCAGCGTGTTTCAACTTTAAAAACGTAATAGTTTCTTTTCTTATTCACTTTCAATGTGTAATTTATTAATGTATCGTATTCTAAAAAAAATCAGTCTCATCACATTTATAACTCAATTTAGTTGATAACTTTTACAAATTTAACAATGCTAACATATCGCAAATACTTTTTTATATAAAAAATTTCTGCGGACTTCACTGCTGTTGTCGCGTTTGCACTCCTTCAACAACGATCATACAATGGGAGCGGTTATTTTGCGGCGGACTTTCTTACTGCAAATTTGTTATATCTTTCTATACGTTTGTGCGCAACAAACCAACCAAGAGCATAAATTACACAAAAATTGTGTTGTGCTGCGTAATGAGTACAAATTTAATTTTCACACAAACCATATTGCTTCGATATAAAAAATTATTTCATCAGAAACTTTAAAACAATGTTTAATATTATATTAATTAAATGTATAATTTTCATTAATAAAAAAAAAATTATGTGTTTAACAGCACGAAATCAAGTGTATGTATTGTGTATTGAAAATGTTTGGCAACACTGAAAGAACGTGCTAAATTATGTTATGCGCAGAAATGTAAACGAAAGCAAACAAAGAATTTCGCGAAACAATTTTTATATATCCACAAATCTATATTGATTTCTGATTTCTTATAACAAAACAATCACAAACTTACTTTAAATGTTAGTAATGTGTATATCCATGCACTTTGTTCTGAATTTTGCTGCTAAATCCCGTGTACTTCAAATTATGCCACAAATGCCGGTATGCCGGCTAATCTAATAAATTCCAATAATTTTCGTTCACAATAAAGAATAATTGTGTAACAATTGTTACACACACATCATGTTGTCATACATACTCATCGCATATGTGAGCATTTTTGCGCTATCATATTCGCTGTGGTAAATCCAAATTCACCACAAATACACTCTAGATAGATTAGATTTTTTAACAATATTTTGTGTTAAGGTTTTCGAACAGTAATGCATCACAACGAAAATATTATTTCGAATTGAAAAAGAAATGTTAAAATTTATTCACAACAAAGATTGAAAATTTTAAAATGCCAAAGTGAATGAAATTCTTATTAAATTTATTTAATAATAGTTTTGTACATAATTATAACTAAAAATTGTAAATTTTTGTTATAAAACTATTTATTAAATTTATATTATATTTTTTTTGTACATAGCAGTAATTGAATATTTTATTTACAAGGAGGTGGAACTTTTATCAAACACACGAAACAAAATTTAACAGGAGAATATATAATATAAACAGTGTAGATAAAAATGCAAATTAAGTTAACATCGTAAACTCAAAATAACTGTTTTGCGTATTACCAAATACCCATCATCAGTGCTCTGTTTTAGAAATACTTATATATAATTATTCATAAATAATAATTTTATTTTTTAAAGCACCAATTGATTAGTGTTTAAATAAATTCCTTTTTTTAAAAATTAAAAAATTCCAATCTAACTATTTTAAATACATGATGTCTTAATTGTTGAACAAGCAAAAATACAGTCAAAGTTAAGAATTCCAAAGCTGTAGTATATATACACTATCGAATATTTTTAATTTTCGGATTATCGGGCAAGAAACAATGGATTATAATAATAGATCTGTTCCACGAGCTACTCGTAGTGACATTGTGTATACACAAATGCATTCCACCAGAAAATTTTCGAGTATACCTATAACATCTGAGAGAGCGTCACATCTCTATTGAAATTTGAAAATGATACACAAACTTTATTCGTACATTTTATTTCAATTAAAATTTGTGTTTATGTGTAAATCAACTGTTTTGGTTTGAATTAAAATTATTTGTTTACTTGCGCGGCACAGTTGTTCTCACCAGATCTTACACAAAGCTGTTTCATGAAAATCTGTGTAAAAAGCGTAATATAGCACTTTATTTGTGTTAGGCTCACAGTTTGTAATTTATTTGTGTTTTACTTGAGTTTTACTAGAAGTAGCTCGTGGAACAGACTTAATAATCTATTCCACGAAATTATTAATAAATTCATAATTTCAAATGAATAAAAATCAATTTTATATAATAAATTTCAAATAAAAATAAAGGTGAAACCAACATAAATTATTTATTATACATTGTAAACACAAGTATAATTAAAAAAAATTTTTTAAAACCGTTCAAGTTACAACGTTAACGAAATCCTTTTTTCGTCAAATATTGCTGACTTACGTATCAGCAATATTTAGTTGATGTTAATATGCAACCAAAACTTAACTAATTCTAAAAAAAACTTATACATATAATTGAATCAAAGACAAACTGTTTTTAAAATAATTCTAATATTATTAGACAAATAATTTAATAATTAAATATTACTTAAACTTTATTAATTTTGTCTGTATTTTATATTATAAAAATACAAAAATCGTTGCATTAAGTTAATATACATATAATCTTTAGAAAAATAATTTCATTTAGTATTGTATTTTAAATTGTCGAGACTTATCTAAAAATACATAAAAATCTAAAAATTAATTGGGATCAAATCGAAAGCAATTCTATTCAACCAGGCTTGACAAAATATGTCCGAAAATCTTACTATGTAAATGTTCTGTTGCATTTATTGTGATTGAAAAGAAGAAGAAAAGAAAAGAAGAAGAAGCAAGCAACATATGTTTATGTAGCTAAACACTTAGAACTTGTTTTTAGCACGTGCAACATTACACAGGTAAAATGAAGGATAAAACTAAAGCTAATAACAAAGTCGCTAATGGTAAAATACAGAAAAAAGTACAAAAAAAGCATAACACTTTAAATGTATCTAAAAGTGACAATATTACCAAGGATGTAGTAACAAAGGCAATTAAAGAAAATATAGTTAAACCTGCTGAAGCTACACAAATTGTTAAGCAGGATAAGAAACAAAAAAAAACAAAAAAGCCTAATACTCAAATTGAAGGCAAAGTTAATGGTGAGAGTAAGAAAAATAATGTGGAAAGCAAAGAAGCTACACAAGCACAAAAAGATGTTGCATCGCCTGACCAGGACAAGAAAGATAAGAAATTGATGCGTAAACAAAAAAAGAAAGATGCTAAGAAACAAAAATCTGATGGTAATGTTTTTTTTATATAAAATATTCAAATTTAATAATATATCAAATTTTGTTATTTCTAGGCCCACGCGTTAGAGATCCCGCATTAAATGCGTCTACGGTCTTTGTTGGCAATTTGCCAACAAACTCCAAGCGGATACAAATCGCACGTCTATTTGAAAACTACAAACCAGTGCATTCTATACGTATTCGTACCGCGAATGGAAAGGCGTTGTTCAAACATAAGGTGCGAAAGAACGCTCCTTCACTTATTGCATATGTTGTGCTTTCGAGTGTAGAAAACGCTCAAAAATCTTTGGAACTAAATGGAACAACTTTCAAAGATAATCATATAAGGGTTACTCTTGCAGATAACAAACAAGGAAATGATATAAAACGCACAGTTTTTGTAGGAAACCTAAAATATTGTAAGTTGACTCTATATTCAATTTATTGACTTCTTGAAATAAATTTAACATTTTTAGCTGCAACAGAAGAGAAACTACGTGAAATCTTTTCAAGCTGTGGTGAAATAGATTATATACGCTGTTTACAAGGAGACGGAGGTTGCAATGGAACTGCTTATGTTTGTTTTAAGTCTGCAGAAGCGGTTGGGTTAGCTTTGGAACTTAAAGAGACACTGCTCGATGAAAGACCAATACATGTTGAACGTTATTTGCCAAAGAAAACTGGTGCAAAAAAAGCGCGCGATGAAGCCGCTGCCTCAAAAACAAAGGTAAAAACTGGTGCCAAAAAGCGCTTGGATGAGAAAAAACAAAATAAGCAAGGCAAGACAGCAAAGGAATCACCTCAAGAAAAAAGTAATAAAAAGAAAAAGAACGAATATCGTGGCGTAAAAATTGAGGATCAGAAAAAGAAACAAAAGAAGAAGGGCAAACCATCCGAGATGCAAAAGTTGGCTAAGAAAATAGCACCAAAATAAATTTTTATTAATAAAATCAAAGTTTTATTTGATACTTTATGCTCTGGACTATACGAATTGAGCAATTTATAATTTTACAAAAATATAACTAAAGTTGTAAAATCCTATTTAAGTATATAAATAATTTTTGAATAAATTATTTCTATATATGGACAAATAAATTAAAGTAGCGTTTATATTAGTCTTTAATTGTAGCCAACAGGACTCTTCTAGAACAGTAAGAACTATTTAAGACAGTTGAAATAGTTTTAATATTGAAATAGTCTCGAATAGGTTGTAGTGGCCGCCTTGTGCCAGAAGCCCACTGAAGTTCAAATTCTGTATCGTTTTGAAACCATGTTAGCGTGATTTATACGCAGACTAGAGATCAGCGTGAGAACAATGCCCGTAGTCACAAATTAAAAACAACTAATCTAACAAATCTATAAACTTAACGAAGTCCCTGATTTTGCAGAATGACAGTTGTTAGGTCGTTAGAAAAGAAAGCCTCAAAGATATTAGATCTTCTCCTAACTAATGATGGACATTGACACATAAAGACACATGAAATATAATTAAATGAATCACAAACAGTTTATGAGGTTAATTGTCTTATATTTATTTAGCTTCTGACGATAATTGTTTATTTAGTTTAGTTTGTACTTCTACTGGAAATTTGTTGAATATTTTCTTAGCGCAATCTAAACAAAACGTTCTAGTGTAATAAAAGCTGCAGGCTTCATCTTTGCAGACAGGACGTTGACACTGACTACAATTAGCGCCCATAGCTATATAATACTCTGGTATTTTCTTATTGCGTGGAGGTGGTGGTTGAAATGGATCACGCATTACATAAGTGTCCTCATAATATTCCACACCCAAAATGAAAGGAGCAGTTTTACCAAATATATGCACCATTTCATCCATATCGCAAGCACTGCAACGGAATCTAATTTTGGGTTCACGTTCGTCGTCTTCATCACGGACAGGTGGTTTCGATTTAAAATCTTTGGAAGACAATTTCAACTTTGCTATTTCTGCTTCCTCATTCTCAATGTATAATTCGTCATCATCAACAGCAACTGGTAATTCATCATCACTTGTTGATTCTTCATCTTCAAATGAGGTTTTCAGCCTATAGGCCTGTTTCGATGTGCTTGGTGGTACAGGTTCAGTGTCACTCCTTTCTTTATTTCTAGTAGTATTCATGCTAAAAGCCTGTTTTGATGTGCTTGGTACAGGTTCAGTGTCTCGGCTTTCTTTCTTTTCAGTTATATGCTTTCTAGAAGCCTGTTTAGATGTGCTTGGTACAGGGTCAATGTCACTGCTTTCCTTATTTCCATAAGTATTCGTTCTAGAAGCTTGCTTTGATGTACTTGGCGTTGGTTCAGTGTCACTCCTTTCTTTATATCTACTAGTGTTCTTGCTAAAAACCTGTTTCGATGTGCTTGGTACAGGGTCAGTGTCACTCCTTTCCTTATTTCTGTAAGTATTCATTCTAGAAGCTTGCTTCGATGTGCTTGCTATGGGTTCATTGTCACTTCTTTCTTTATTTCTATAAGTTTTCATTCTAGAAGCTTCTTTTGATGTACTTGGCATGGACTCGGAATCACTCATTTCTGTAAACAATTGCATAAGGATATGATATATTTTAATGAAAAATTTGTTTAAATAACAAAAATTTATTTACAGCAAAGATTTAGTTCTTACAGAAATTTTTTATAAATAGTTTAACAAGTTTATAATATATAAATTCTTAAAGCTACATCTTGTTACAGTTTTAATCTTGGTATTACTGAGTTCTACAATTCGTTTTAAATTTTATTTGGATTACGTGACTCTGCAGGCCACCATTTAGGTTTTTCAACATAGCAATCAGCTCCATCAATTAATAGTTTAGGTGCACCTAGTGCCTGTTCTACGCGTAATAATCCTATAGCTCGATCACGACTAATGCCACGTATTGTCCCAATATTGGCACCTGAGGCTAACTGGACAGTAGTGACTTCTTTTGATACTGGTGCCGTTAGCCGTATTGGCATAAAACGTTTACGTATTGTGCCGGTATGATAGACGCGTGCTGTAAGTTCTTGTCCAATATAACAACCCTTTTGAAAGCTGACACCATGTAGATAATCGCCATTTGCTTCTAAAGGAAAACATTTACCGGGTGGTAAATCTGTCACGCCTTCTCCTACACCGTATTTATAACGTCGTATACGATAATTACAATCGTTGGTTGGAGGAGAAACTGTAACTTTATCGGCTTCAGAAAATATTTCAGCTATATCATCCCATTCATTCTTAACACCTGCGATTACTCGCACACCCAGTTCACGTATACGTGGATCTGTGCAAAATTGCATATTACCAATTACACCCGAGCTATCGAAATTAATATCGCCATCATCTGGGTTAAATACTATCCACGGTTTGTATTTATCTCCAGCTGCTTCAATAACAATTTTTCGACGAACACGATATAAACGCAAATGTTGACGTAGCTGTTCAGAAATTCCTTTATCACATTCAATTAAAAACGTGTTTACATCTTTGGTGCGATATATAATTGAGTCATATAATATGCGTCCAGCCTTATTTAAGAACATTGTGTACATGGAATCATTAGAAAGGGATTGGTCACTGTTCAAATGTTTCATGTCGTTTGTTGTTAATCCCTGCAAAAATGGTACGACTTCTTTGCCGCTTACACGTATTAATTCTCGATCTGTAAGTGGTTCTATTATTAAACGCGTTTTACCAGACGGTCCTTCGTCTTGTGTTAAACCACGAATATTTTTTGTCATTGTTCTTAGACATTTTGTTAACAAATTGGGACCCATAAATGGGTTTACTAATTTTTTCAACGATTGCATTTCAGTTCACTGTTAAAAAATGTTTGTAGCTAAATATTTTTATATTAAATATTTTAATACCTGAATTTTTTTTAAAAACGTAAAATTTTTGAAGCCAAAAGTATTTATTAAAATTTTTTATTTACTTAATAACTGTTTCAACTTTTATTTATGTAATGTTTTTTAAATTACTTAACTCAATAAATTCTTGAATTTATTCAACTGACAACTAAATGCAATGTTTTCATAATAAATTCTAACAGCTGATTTCACGAAGCAAAAGCCGCTTATGTGATCTACCAAGACAGGGTTGATTTATATTTTTAGTAAGATAATTAGAACTTATTTGAAATTTTGTATATATAATATGGGACTTACACTGGCCCAAAATGGCTTATTTTGAATGAATGCCTGTTGATTTGATTTTTGGCCTGTACTAAAAAACGTTGCATGAATGTTAAATATGCCTTCAAACCTTACAATTTAAACTTAAAACATATTTTTAACGTCGATTAATTACTTTTTAAGAAGTAGAAGTTCTAAAAAATGTGCATTGTTTTCAAGAAAATGCAACCACCAAACATTTGTTTACCTTTTTTTTGTAAATATGTCAAAAACAGCTTTCTCAAACTGTCAAAATGCCATGAAGAGCTTTCAATTAAGGTATGTTCAATATATTCCTTTGTATTTGGCACATATTCGGAGTGCATACGAACGTCGTTGGGACGCATTCATACAAAATGTGATGAAATGGGTCGTATTCGAGCTTAAAATGTTGTATGCAAGAATGATCTATTCGCTTCTCAGTTTCGATTTTTGACCAAAATGAGCCATTTTCGGCCAATGCAGTATAAGGCTTTTCATTATCTGTCAAACTTATTTAACGCTGAATTAGAGAAGATTATAAACTTTTTTAACACATATTCTTGTTTCAAAACTCCGCCGTAGACGGTCTCAAGACCGGTTAAGAAAGGAAAAGTGCTTGCAAGGGTCTCGTGGCGACATAACCCCATAAATATGAAGCCCTAAAATGCGAGAAACGTCTACCAAATAAAAATTTGGCTCTGCAAGCAAAGTCCTTTTATAAAGAGCAGATTCGAGAGCCTGGTGCGGCAAATATAGACAAATGGTTGGTCTTAAGGTTGACAAGTTAATATTGTAAAAAATTTACCCATAAGATACAAAAACGAGCTAGAACTGCTAGCTAAAGGTGATACAAACAACAAATTTATGAAAAAGCAGCGTTTAAGATGGGTTGGACATGCGATAAGAATGTTCTACCTAATATGAGAGTTCCACTTAAGATTTATGAGCACGAAGTAGGAATCAGCAGAAGAAGAGGGTGACCAAAAAAATGATAGAAAGATAGTGTGCAGCAGGCCTGAGAAGAAATGAACATAACAAATTGAAAAACAAAAAGAAAAAACATAGAAGAATGGAAGACTGCTGTTAAATAGGCTTAGGTCCTACATGGAATGTATAGTCACGGATGATGATGATTCTTGTTTCAAAACATCATTGTTGTAGCCCGCAGGAATGTATAAAGCCGATAACATGAAAGGAATTACAAAAACGTAAACATGGATGAGGATGTGGATAGATAATAGTAGTGTGAGAATGGAGTGGATTGTTTAGGAGTAACAATAGTTTAGAGATGTGTGGGACTTATATTAAAGTTAACTAAGATCAAGGCGAAAAAATTTAGCAACCTAGGAGTGGGTTCAAAGATCATTTAGACTAAACTTTGTTTTGATCGCTGTTTTGTAGCGACTTTATTGTTGTAATTAAGTGCAAGTTGGTGAACGTTATTACCGCCACAATTCTCATTAAGAACCATAACATTGTGAAATCCCAAACATAATGCACATAGCTTTGGAGCATATAAACACATATTTTTACCATGAATAATTAAAGTTAATTATATTTTTAATTTTTATTATAATATGTCTAAATACATATTTCTTAATTAGAAGCATAAAAATATTAATTATGTATTATTTTTAGTAATATTAAAACCAAAATAAAGCTTTGCACTTCCTTTATCAAATGCACCTCATATAACAATATTAAAATCTAACATTAATAACAAATATATTTCGAGTAGCAGAAATATTTAAAGAAGCACTTATTTATTTGCCAAAATCTCAAATTTCATGCCATGCTCGTGCTTTTCCAATTCACTTATTAAACTTGTTTTGGCAAACGCTGCGCCAGGTGAGAACACACCACCGGTTGATGGCATTTTTTCATGCTCCTTAAGTATGATTTTAGCTGTGCAGAGCAAGGCAACACAAGTAGCACCATAACCAGGATTGGAACCAGATACTTTGACCATTAAAGTTTTACTCGGTGGATCTTTGAATTGATCTGTGGGTTCGCTCAAACGTTCAGAGTTTGACCAACCCACAGCCTTCATTGTCATTTCGAATAATAGACGCTCCATATCAGATTCAGTAGGTCCTTCATGAGATATAAATCCAAGTGAGAAAAATTTCGGATATTTTAAAAGTAAACGCCGCCCAAAAGCGAATTTCGCCAATATGCCAAACGTTACACCAATAATAGCGACAAGCATTGCAGTAACCCAGGACTTAAAAGCAACATAAGCATGCATCTGTACTGGTCGTTTGTTTTCTGCTTCATATAAAAAGCGTTGCGAACGCATAACCACTGAACGGTCAGAACCTGGAAATGGTAGGCAAATACCATTTACAATTTCTGAATGGAAAAGAGTTGGTCGAGTTTTGAGTATAGGATAAAATTTAGGTAATTTATTGCTATATAGCTTCGAACGTATGCCACGTAATTCATTTGCATGTGCTAAACCGTAAACGGCACTTTCCCATGTACCATAATGTATGCTGGCTCCACCAGATGTCTCGCCTTTTGTACTACATTGAAGGTATGTTTCGACTGAATTAACAACACCATCAAAATTCTTTTCTATAAATATTATACCCATATCAGCGGGTATAGAATCAAATCCGCAAGCTGATACAACATATACATTTTTTTCCTTTGCTTGTTCATTGTATTTTAATTGCATTGTTTCCATATATTGTGGTTCACCACTAACATCAACATGATGAGTGCCAGCCTCAATACAAGCGCGTACTACTTGTTCGCCATAAAAACGATATGGACCACAACAATTCACAAGTATGCGACACTTACGTGCCATATTTGCTATGGAGGCTTCATCTTCGATATCAGCAATAATAATTGGAATGTTTGACAAGTTCTTATTTGCTTTTAGGCCCATGTCTTTAAGCACCTCCTCCAATTTGCTACGATTACGTCCAGCAACTCCCCAACGTAAATTCTCTAAGACCGTCACTGCTTCATAAACTGTGTATTTACCTGTAAAACCAGTGGCTCCGAATATGATTACATCCAATTTCTCACTCATTTTTATCGTTGTTTATTTTTCAGGTTAATGCAAATATGACCTTTGGTTTGTTCCACCTAAATGTGAATTGGTTTATCGATAATAAACACCGGCAAATGGAATGTTTTACACAAAATATGTATTAACTGTAAATAAAAATAATTTTTTACTTCAAAAAAATTAATATATTTTATATTCTCCTTACATAACACGTATTTAATATTTTATTTATATAGTATTTTACAATGCAAAGAAAAAAAACAAGCTCAGCCCTACTTAACCAAACACGGATCAGAACAAAGTGCAAGTGCGACGTAATTTGTGATGTTTATGCATAAAGTATGATGCACAGTGATGCCAGATTAGTGGTACCAGTTTTAGTGCTGCCAAAAAGTAAACATACAAAATAATAAACAAAGTTTTTAGTTGTGTCAGTCTAGTACAATTAATCTATTCTAGATTCTTTTCCTCTATTTTCATTCCCGATCACCTATTTCCTTTTGATTAATAAATCTGTGATTGCTTTTGAATTTTTAGTTTTTATTTGTAAAAATCACTTGGGATAAAGTAGTTTATGTATAATGACGTATATAGATTCATTAATGGGAGTTTCTAAAAAATAATTAAATAATTGATTGTGTTAACAACAACAAAATGCATTGAATAAAAGAAAACCAACTTTACGCGACCCCTACATTACATTTCCACTGCTTACTTAGTAAGTCATATAGTAACATTGCGCTTTTTGGCGTTTACATTATCACAAGTTACTTAAGGAATGGGAAAGAGTTTTTATGTATCAGAAAGTTCTAGCTTTAGAGCTTTTGTTTGTTTACATATTAATTGCAAACAAATGACATTCAATTTTGTATTGTTAGAAGAAAATAAATCAGCATGGAAAACACAGAAAATTTAAATAATTTAATATATATAATATAGGATATTGTTTACAATATGAATGCAGCAGTTGTTGCATATAGAAAAAAAAATGCAATGATTTATAAAAAATTACAAATCATTCTAAACCAAAGTAGGTGCTGGACTTTGATAAGTACGGGCAGTGAATATTATTAAAAAAAGAGTAAAATTTAAATGAGTTGCTATTTTAGAAAATAACGAAGAAGTTTTGGGAACAAGATTGTAAAAAAATATTCCTGTTATTTTAAGGAAATTTGGCATTAAGCAAAGAAAGGTAAAAGAGTGCATTACCGGCTTAGAAGAATTAGGTTTTCCACAAAGATATAAAGATGAATTAAAGAAATATATATATGTATATTCTAATTCATGAATAATCTGTCATAAAATAATTAAATGGTAACAAAGGTATAGTCGAATCAAGATTTTATCTGAAAGACACTTCAAAGTAATTTTCTAACGGTTCTTCTTGAGTAGTATTACATATGTACGTTAGAAGGTATTATTTGCTTTTATAAAATTTATATTTTAATCGTGATTTTAACTCAGATTTTTGTATGAAAATGGTTCGTAATTTTAACTGGATTTTGTAATGAAGTAAATTGTTTGAAACGAACAAGAAAAATTATAATCAACATTTCGATTGCTTCGGCTGTGTGAATAGACTCTAAGATAGTACGGGCAGTCTTGTTCTCCGAGTTTTTAGTATTATTTTTGTTTTTGTAAGCTAAATAAAAATTAATAAGTAAATTTTTATGATTCGAAAGGTTTGTACGGGTTTTATAAATTTTATGAATATCTGTGATTAGTATTAATATATATATATTATAGATCGTTCTCAAAAATTAATAATCCAATTAACAAAATAGCCAATAGTGTCATCATTTATACTCTTATAATCATTGAGTTAGCTAATTAATAGTTTATAATTACTACTCGATATTACGATAACATATTACGATATGATCATAAAACACGATAACTTAAATTATCTAAAGTTTTACATCTACAATTAAATACATAAATTGAACTTCGAATATTTGTGGACTTTTAGTTTATAAAAATTGCACAATCATGTAATTTAATGACTGTATAGTAAATATTACCTAAGAAATATTATTATCTCTATTGATATGGACGTCTGAACACGTAGTGGAATAATGATATACAGAATTTGAAAATAGTTTTAACACTCAAATTTATTTATAGGCATATATATAAAACGAAAATATATTTTGCTGATAAAAATAAGACTGATATTGCAAATATTTATTAATTTAACTTTGCAAAACCTTTTCTTTTTTGGATTGAGACCGCAATTGATTCGATGTCAATATCGCATTCGAGATCTTTAATGCGAAATACTAAAGCGCTTCGACAGCACATCGCAGAACTTTACATTGGAATGTTTGTATCTTCAAAGTATTACTGGATTTTGAACAATCCTATAGGGGTAAGGTAAAGTTGAAGGGATGGCCTTGTACACCAAAGGCCCTTTGAGCTCAAATTAATATCCGTTGTGAATATAGCTCGGATTATCGTTGTTCGCATACAGATCAAAAGGACTTCTGAAAAAACCGCAGCGAACAGTCGGTTGCCATATTGGAAAAAGTATTTTTTTATATATAAATAAAGCAGATCACTTACCCATGGTTGACGTTGATTTGAGCTTATAACCCAAGGGTTTTACCTTATTATTTAGCAGTATTATGTCACAAGATTCCTAAGCTAATTATATATAAAAGATAATTGTATGTGAAGTTGTAAAGGACAGACTTATTTTAATGCTCAATATAGTTGTCTATTTTAAGAACTTGTTTAGATAATATAATGGTCGAGCTATGGATACACTAGATCTGATTTTTAGACCGTTAAAATTACTGTTTCGTATGAAAATATTGCTGTGATGCAATGTTTGAGGTGGGGTAAATCATATGTAAAGCGTATATAAAAAATAGGTTCCAACACATTGTCCTGGGGGACATTTTGTTTTATTACGGTAAGAGTACGTATCTTTTTGTTTGATGCGAATAAAAGGATCTGATAGACACGATTTTATTAGGCTAAAGTATTATTTTAAGAAAAACCGAAGTACAAATCTGTTTTTTATTCGAAGGTGTTTTCAATAACTCTAGTTCGAGTTCTATGGATTTGGTCGATGAATGAGAATTTTGTGTAGAAACCTAACTGATGCGCAGGTATTAGTTCTCTTTACTCGTCTAAAAATATCTCAATGGATTTATTTTTGGACAATAACAAACTCTTGAAAAATCCAATAAATTGAAAAAAGAACAATTAAGAAATATTTCTTGGTTAGGTTAGATGACGTTGGGTTCAAAACCCACTTAAGCATAAATAATGACCTGTTGTGATACCAAGAATTAGCGATTGTTGATAAGGAGAACAAAAGTGTTCTAAAAGGACCGCAGTGGTTGGCGACATTGCGAGCGTTTAAAAATGTTAACTATGGCCTCGAAATTTAACAATATTTATTACAGATATTAAGCTATTTTATTTATCCACTAAAATACATTAGTTTGATTAAGGGTCACATCAGACATTCATTAAAGAATGTGGTTCAAATGTATAGACTATTTTAATAGACAATATCATAATATCATATCAATATCATAAAGTATATGCTTTTAACATAAAGTAAAACCCAAAATGTTTTTCGAAATTATTTTTTTTATAAAAAAAAATTTATTGTATAATTTTTAACAAGTATGTATGTATGTGTATGATAATTTTAAACCATAACCGTTTCCAAATAACCATCCGTCACACGCTTTAAAATTTATTTATTTAAAACTTCGAATTTAAGTCCATGTTCATGCTTTTGCAATTCTTCTATAATGCTAGTTTTAGCAAAGGCGGCACCTGGTGTTAAGACTCCACCAGTTGATGGCATTTTATCGCTTTCTTTCAATATCGTAACAGCTGTAGAAAGTAATGCAACACATGTAGCTCCATAGCCAGGATTTGTGCCAGAAACCTTAACAACCACTGATTTATTTGGTGCATCCTTATATTGATCGGTGGGTTCAGCTAAATTTGAAGACTTAGCCCAGCCAAGTGCTTTTATAGTGAATGAGAAATGTGTATTGTTCATTACAATTTCAGATGGTCCCTCATGTGAAACAAAACCAAATGTGAAAAGTCTTGGATAGTCCAAAAGTAATTTACGTGTAAATGAAAATTGTGCCATAATACCATACACGATAGCCATAAAGCCAACAATAATTGCTTCTATCCAAGAACCAAAGGCTACAAAACTATTTACCTGTGCAGGACGTTTACGTTCGAATTGATAGCGAAAACGTTGTGTACGAGCAGCAACTGCTGAATCTGGGCCAGGGAATGGTAAACACACTCGATCGACAACTTCAGATTTGAAAATCGGTGGACGGCGCTGAGCTTTAGGTTGAAATTTTGGTAATTTTTCACTAAACAATTTCGGACGTATATCTTTTAATTCGTGTAGATGACCTATAGCATGTATAAGACTTTCCCATGTTCCATAATGTATGCCAGCAGATTTAGGACTACGTTTACGAACTGTTTTCAAGTATGTTTCTACAGAATTAATAGTGCCATCAAAATTTTTCTCTGCATATAAAATACCAATTTCGGATGGTATTGAATCAAAGCCACAGCCAGACACTATGTAAGTATTACGTTCTTGTGCTTTAGCATGATATTTCAACTGCATACTTTCCATAAACTGTGTTTCACCAGTAACATCCACATGATGTGTGCCGGCTTCTATGCAAGCACGTACCACAGGCTCACCAAAGAAACGATAGGGTCCGCAACAATTGACCAATACACGACAACGTTGTGCCATTGCCAGCAATGATGCCTCATTACCTACATCCGCAATAACAATGGGTGTGTCCATTAAATTTTGTTTAGCTTTTGCACCCATTTCCTCTAGGATAGATTGGAGTTTAGCCTGATTGCGACCGGCAATACCCCAACGTAAGTTTCCCAGCACTGATGCCGCTTCAAATACAGTATATTTGCCGGTAAACCCGGTTGCACCAAATATTATAACATCCAGTTTTTCTTTAGTCATCCTGAGCATTTATACTAAAAAAAATTAATATAATTATGGAATAATAATTAAAAAATTATTTTTTCAATTACCGAATTTAGTTTTAATACCGAAAATTTTTAAACACAAAGTCCAAGTCCAACGCCTTTTAAACTACTCAAGTAGTGAACTGTAAATGAAATACCAACAAAGGAAAAGAATATTTTAACGTGTGTAGTTATTAACAAATACATTAATAAAATTTACTTTATCAGAATGCCATTTATTAGTTAACCCCTACGATTAAACACACATTCGTAGACAAAAAAATACACACAAGTGAAGCTCAGTTTACATTCAGAAAACACGACAATCTTGCAAACCCGTTACCATGCAACCTCGAAGGGCGGAGGGAATGCAAAATATAAATAATTAAATATGCTGCACACAGTGTTTATCATTTTTATTCAGACTTCTTGTATGATCTTATTGAT